ACCCAGAATAAGTCTTTTTCTGGGAAGGCCTTGCATATTTCAACAGGACAACACTAAACTGCATACTGCACCATCTTTACAGCATCACTTTGTAGTGCAGGCGTCTGGGTGCTGAATTTGCCTGCAGTTTAACTAAATGGAAATATTTGAGACAAAACCAAAAACAAAGACGTAACACAGCTAGAATCTTATATCAGACAAATCTCCCAGAGGTTCCAGCTGCTGGTCTCCTCGGTTCCCAGATGTTTACGGACATCCGAGGAACTGAAGGAGGTCAGGGGAGGGGTATATTTGCACCAACCAGGTGATTTCCAAAGAGATATTAACTGAAAACTTATCTTTAAAAAGACTTGTCTGTTGGTGAGTCTTCATCTGTAAAAGAAATGCAGTGTATGCCTAATTATTGCCCTCAAATAAAGAGTCATTATATGTTATTCATTGTACACTTGTTTTACTTTATTTAACAAGCTTGAAATTTGTTCATGAAACATCTCAACTTAAAACCAGATGTGTAACTAAAGCTAAACAACAAAGGTTATTCACACCTACAGCTGTTCAAGCTCACAAGTGGCTGAAAGCTCTCCCTTTCACCTACATCACTCTAAATCATAAAACGACATCAAGTTTAAAAAAAAAAATCATTGTGCTTGTTTTTGACAAATTGCACACATGTATACTGCAGTCACAGTTTAGAATTCCTCTAACCACCAGCGATTATTATTTTTATTAGAGGTTTATTATGTATTTGGTGAACCAGCATTAATTATTAGAAGTTAGAACCGGCAAACTGTTTGTACTAAAAATAATTACATGATTTGTCTGTCAAAAATCTCATCATTCATTTTAAAATGAATCCGTTAAAAATGACAGTGACCGTGCTAATAAAAACTCTGATATGAAACAGTAAACACTTCAGTAACAGCAAAAAATCCTGCCTAGACTTGGACTTGCTAAAGTAATGTTTAAAAATGTTTTACTATTACCAGAATGTCTTTTTTTAAGTTTAAATTAAATTTATCTTAAACATGTCACACAAATCCATCAAAATCTGGTTGGATTCATTTTTTTTGTCCTAAGTTTAGATGGTACGTGAGTCTGACTGCGAGTCACCACGATGTTAAAATACAAACACACTGCAGAGGTGACTACGTCTTTGGTTCTCCCGACATGATTTCTGTGCCAAGTTTGTTGCGCTGTGCCTTTAAGCTCCAATTTTTTGCCAAGGAGCATCAGTGGGCATGATCAGAGGTGGCCAAGTTCTGCACAGAGGAAGATGGATCGAGTCCAAGCAGCGTTCCCAGGTAGGACTGCTCTCGGTGGTCCAGCATCTGATCCGACCTCACAGGGTGGACGATGT